TAAGAAACTAATCAACGAATAATAATAATAAGAAGAAGAAGAAGAAGAAGAATAACCGTCTATTCTATATAGCTGACGTCAAACACATTTTCTAAAAACAACAATGAGTTGAAAGATCTCAATAAATACTGTAAAAAATCAGTAATGGCATTGGTATGAAATCAGATTAGATAAATGTCTAAAAGAAATATTCCAGAAAGAGAGAATTACCGAAACACAATCAGTAGATTTCGATATTGTAACAAAGATTAGAGAACTGGAACAAGAAGAAACCTAAAAAAAACCTAGGAGTCAGCCAAGGAGATGCAATACAACAAACCCAAATGAAGGAGAAAGTAAGAAAAGAATATTACAGGCATGTGCGCCTGGTATTAAATACCTAGATAAATTCACAAAACATAATATCAGCCATTAACACTTTGCCTGACCCTGAAGGGCAATGCAGTTTCAACATCTTTAACTGGATCATAGCTGACATTAAGCAAATCGATGTCGAAGCGAAAAAACTTCTCACTTGTATTTGTCCAGATCCGATGGAGGCAGAGGATTAGTTCAACTAGAACTATTTTACAAACCCACATAAATCGGTCTTCAAAAATACCAAGAAACTACAGAAGACTGGATGATGATCTGTGTCAAAGAACATGAAAGAAATAAGAAACTTTATTCAGTAATAAAGGAAGCCAACAAACTCCAAAGGGGATTTCAAGGGGATGAAGAAGAGAAATTAAACCATAATAAACTCCCTACAGCGGCAAAGTACCTAAACAAGTAGTCAAAAGCAAATGCAATGGACCAAAAGCAGAAACAATGGCAGCTTGTTCGGTACGGGCAGAGTATTGACTATGAAGATCCTTATCTTGCTATCGTTTCTTCATTATACAACCCCGATATTTCTAAGCCACGGGGAGTTTGATTTATGCATTTATTATTATTATTATTATTCCAGTTATCGTTGTTATTATATAATTAATTGTTTTGTTGTATATAATGAGTGGCATTCGTCGGTCTTCAGAGACCGTGGATCTGCGCCCCAAAAGTTATGCCTCAGCTGCTGGTGAAGGCGCAGGATTTTTTATGGCTGTACAGGCCCACATGGGAGTGACAGTCTAGCAGGAGTTGCCAGAATGTAACTAAACATAGCATCGGAGATTCCGGCTCCGGATTTGTCCTCAGGGTTTACTCCCGAAGCCTATCCCATGATTGGGTATGGCCGGAAAGCAGCAGAGATTTAAAATCAGAGAATTCCTTCCCTTGGATGAAAATGGCAGGAAACCGGACCTAGGGAGGGCATCGGCAATTAAAAATATGCCTGAACAAAAAAACGTTGCAGAACTACAAAGTTTCCTGGGCCTAGCTAACTACTATGGCGAATTTATTGATAATATGCATAAACTGAGGGCTCCACTAAATGAGTTACTAAAAAAGAAGAATAATTAGAATTGGACAGAGGATTTAAGGAAATAATACAAAAATTAACTTCGGAGTTAACATTGACACATTTCGATACCGAACTCGAAATCATTATTGCAAGTGACGCGAGCTCACATGGGATAGGTGTGTGTATTCTACACAAGATGCGGAACGGTACAAACAAACGCGTTGCACACGCATCAAGATCATTATTACCGGCGGAGAGAAACTATTCACAGATCGAAAAGGAGGCATTGGGCATAATTTTTGCAGTAACTCGTTTTCACAGATATATTTATGGGAGAGAGTTCACGCTCCAAACGGACCACAAACCACTTCTTACGATTTTCGATTCAAAAAAAGGTCTACCAGTCTATACAGCGAACAGACTTTTAAGATGGGGAACTGTGTTACTAAACTACAATTTCAAACTTGAGTTTTTACCATCAAAGAAAATAAGACACGCTGATGGACTATTGCGGTTAATACCTGCGAAAGGCGAACCGTTAGAAGATTCGGTAATTGCGGCATTACAAGCTTAAGATGAAATCAGTAAGGTATTATGCAATACAATAAAGGAACTACCTGTAACGCTGCTAGAGATAAGACGAGAAGCAGAAAGAGACGAATTTATTCAGATTACTAAGAAAAAGTTAGAGGAGAAGGTGAGGAATTTAACAGACAGTTTCTCAATCTGTGACAATATATTATTGTATAACGAGAGAGTAGTAATACCGAAGTAGCTACGAAGACGGATCTTGAAAGATTTTCACTTACGACATCCCGGAAAAAACCGGATGAATTCATTTATGAGAAGTTTTGTCTACTGGCCGAACATGGACGATGATATTACGCAAATGGTGGAAAGTTGCAAAAGTTGTGCTGCTGCGGCGAAAGCACCACCCTCTATACAAAAGCTATGGCCTAAAGTCGACAGACCAAGGTCCAGAATACACGTGGATTACGCAGGACACATTGAGGGTTACTACTATTTAATAACAGTAGATAGTTTCATAAAAATGACCAGAGGTTGCCAGATTTAAACACCCGACGATAGAAAATGCCATAAACTGTTTACACGAACTATTCGCGAGATTTGGCGTCGCCGATTGTTTGGTAAGCGATAACGGCACACAATTTACCTCTAGTGACTTCAAAGAATTTTGTGAGACATATCAAGTAAAGCATATCAATATAGCTCCGTACCACCCGAGATCGAACGGACAAGCTGAACGATTCGTTGACACACTAAAAAGAGCGTTAAAAAAAAGCCGAGGATGTACCGACGATAAAAGCGATACAACAGTTTCTCTAAGTGTACAGAATAACACCTAACGTGAACACGCCATTGGGTCTTTCACCAGCGGAATTGATGTTTGCTCGGAGAATAAGGTCTGTGTTTGACAAATTATTGCCAAACAAGAACAAAAACCAGTATACACCGATTGTAACAAAGAGATTATTTAAACCTGGAGAACGGGTTTACTTTAGACTGTTTAGAAACAATATGGCTTACTCAGAGCCTGGCACAGTAATTAACAGATTAGGAAATCTAATGTCACAGTACAAGGCGAGAAGTTTTCACATAGAAGACATATTGACCAATTAAAAAAAAAAACGGGTTGAGGAGCCAAGCTCGTCACCGGCAGAAAACGACGATTCAATGCATGCAATCTTCGAAGCGTTTGAGATCCAAAGACCACAGGAAGACACAGAAATGAGGTCAAACAGGAAGAGAAAATTTACCGAACCTCTGGTTATCGACCATAAGAGAAGAAAATACTACCCCCACGAAAAGGGATCTAAGGAGTGGGGTGATTAAGGGGTCCAGCTTTTTTTTCATACAAGTGGACTCGCCCAGTTTGTACTTGTACTGCTGCCGGTGAATGCCCGGGAGTTAGACGAGAGATACAGTGAGAGAGTGAGAGTGTGAGGTAACCGCTTTGTAGGAGTCACAGTTGCGAGCACGTAGACACAGAAGGAAGTCATACTTCGATACTGAATTTCCCAGACTATATATATTATTATTGCTACTAACCGCATTTCTGGATCTACTAACCATATTACTGCGTCAATACATTTATTTGCTATATTTCATTGCTGCGTTTGTCTTTCATTTGAGACCGGATTTCATCTCAGAATCCACAACAAGAACAAATAGGAAACGTATATAAATCTAACATGTTTCACTTTTATTAAAGCTTTGTCAGCGTTTGAGAGAAAAGTGACAAAATCCTGTCCGGTAACACAAAAATTCTTTTCAAATAACATTGTCGTAGACAATTTACTATTAGAGAAGCATTATTGATTAAATACCGTTCCCCTGCTATCAATCTTAAACTGTTTAGCATTGGAGACGACCTGTTAAATGTTTTCTTAAAATAGAAATCATGCCCAGGTCAACCTGTCGCGCATAGCACGTGTCCACCCAATAATTATGTATTACTCCACAAAAACGCCACACAATTAAACTAATATGCAGAAGATAACACGTAGAAATTCACCATAGCAAAAACAACAACTTTGATAATGGCTATATAACTAGCTCAGAATAATAATAACTTTGGACAATTGTTATATTCTTTAACTCCTAAAAAACGAAAAACAGTTAGAATGCCGGAAAAAAACTAGATAAAAGATTAATTAAATCATCTTCGTCGACTGTTTTAATTGCTGCCGAAATATACTTTAATATATATATATATATATATATATTAAAAATATAATTTAATATATATATATATTATTATATATAATTATATATATATATATATATAGAGAGAGAGAGATAGATAGATAGATAGATAGATAGATAGATAGATAGATAATATTAGTGGTAAATATACACATACATATGCAATCATATATCTAAAATTGTAGGTCTGATGAATTGGATCGTATTTACGATTCCAATGGAATAAATTATGACCATGGAATATTAGTGTTTAAGCCTTTATATATATATATATATATATATATATATATATATATATATATATATTCAAACATATTTTTTAAAATATAACAAGCAATGAATGTCTATTATGTTAGATCATGAGCTGTTCTAAACTTCGCTTTAATTTCGGGAGATTATAGCAACTATACGAAGTTTACAACGGCTCCTGATCAAACATAATAGACATTCGTTGTCTGTTATATTTAACAATAGATGTTTGAATAATGATCTACTACCTTAATAAACTAAATACACACACACACACACACACACACATATATATATATATATATATATATATGTGTGTGTGTGTGTGTGCTCCTTTGAGACATTCCAATTTTGCTTACCCATTCACGATTTCTTTCAGAACGTTTTTCGACATTAACGTAACCCTAGTGGAATCAGTGTCAGTGATGAATAAAGTTACAAAATCAATTTCTCTTCCATCTTCTTTCCTCGCCTATCCCCCCCTCTCCCTCCCTCTCTCTCTCTCTCTCCCCCCTTCTCTCTCTGTTAATGAGTTTTAGATTAAACATCTTTCCTTCCTTCCCCTCTCTGATAGTCATTCTCTTTCCTCTTTTCTTTTTCTCTTTTATTTCCCGATTTTTTTTCTCATCACACCATCCACCTCTCAACAGCCAATCACGCACAAACACGTGAGAGAGAAAGAGAGAGGTAGAGAGAGAAAGAAAGAGAGAAGTTTACGATCCGTTATTTGGGCAGCAACCGAGAAAGAAATGATCAGTTCGGGCGAGCCAAAGAAGAACAAGAGAAAGGGAGACAACCTAGTTAAGCGCAAAGAAATTTACGCATATTATTGAGTTTATGATAGCATCGTAAAAATGGCCGTGCTATGTAACCAATTTCTTGGCGCGTATGATGGTGGGGAAATGACTCTCCCGGCGATAAACAGCTCCCATCTGTCGAAAAAGCAGTTTGTATCTTCGAGATGACTTGACAGGTTGGCAGGCTAATGATATTTGCTACAGACGGAAAGTATTTTAGTGTTTTTCCAAAGTCAGAGTTTATCGCATTAGTCGGCAAGAGAGAAGCCCCCAGTGGCCGCTATCAGATCAACAAGAATGGTAGAAATTAAGCAATGGTGGATATGTGGCCAAGGCATTAAGGTCCGTGTCGCCGCCAATGGCCGGTTCTTATCTACTAATCACTTGAGGATTGTTCAGTGGTCAGAGAAACCGGTTTTGCAGAACTAATCAAGTAATTACCTTCTCTCTTTCTCTCTTTATATTTCCCTAATCATTTTCAGTGTGTGTGTGTGTGTGTGTGTGTGTGTGTGTGTGTGTGTGTGTGTGTGTGTGTGTGTGTGTGTGTGTGTGTGTGTGTGTGTGTGAAGGAAAACTACAGGATAATGTATACAAGGAAAGCGGGAAGAAAGGACTAACTGTCAATTGTAAGAACCTATAATGTATGGTTGTCAGCAAGAAAAAAAGGCCAGGTCAAAATCAAACACGTGTAGACATTAAATATCTGGGAAGACGATGGAAAATGTGACACCGAAATCGGAAGACTCATTAAACTAAGCAAAGTATTAAGAAACAGGAAAATTTCTTTAGGAACTGTTGCGTAATTTCTCATTTCTTACATCAGAATAGAGAAAGAAGCTTCCCAGAAACTAAGTAAAGTATTAAGAAACAGGAAAATTTCTTTAGCAACAAAGAATAGTGGGCTGGATTACTGCGTAATATCTCATAGAAATGAGAATAAAGAAAGATCACTCCCAGAAACTAAGCAAAGTATTAAGAAACAGGAAAAATTTCTTTAGGGACCTAAAAAGAGAGTCCTGAACTGTTGCGTAATATCTCATTTCTTACAACCAAATAGAGAAAGATGCCTCCCAGAAACTAAGCAAATTATTAAGAAACAGAAAAATATCTTTAGAAACAAAGAATAGCGTGCTGAACTGCTGCGTAATATCTCATTTCTTACATTAGAATGGAGAAAGATCCCCCCCCCCCCAGAAACTAGAACAAACTCCCAAGAGGATGTTTCCTCGATCGCTACAATCTTAACCTATTCAAGATTAGGGTTAATCGTTATGTCCTTCACCTATACACACAAATGGTCTCCGAACGTAACACTCTACCTCGAGTGGCTCTCAAGCCTTGTAATGGGTGACCCTCACTGTAAAAAAAAAATTAAAAAATAGAGCCTCACAGTTGATCTCTCCTCTGACTTTGCTCTAACAGCTCTGTGGGGTAAGACTGGCTGCTCCCGTTCAATACATCAAAGACCAACTAGTGATGGTCCATCATCATCTAGCGGACCCTGAATTTTATCTTATCGCTATGAACGAGTGTTCTCTCAAGGAGCCTGAACCGCCTCTTGGGACTTCTCAACCCAACCCTCAAGCGGATCTCGCTCATCACTAAAGATGCTGGGAAAATATTCGGTTTTATGTACCGCTTCAGTAAGTACATGACTCCACCTGACATGCTCTACTCGTAGAAGAGTGTGACCAGGCCGAAAATGGTGTAGTACTGCTCTTACTAATATAAACAATGTAGAAATCAAGCATTTAAACAAATTTAGTACGAATCGAGTTTTACTTTTTTTCCAAAATTCCCTTGATAAACATTATCATCTATTTTACATTATCACTAATGCTCTCAAGTCTATATCCTGCGAAAAAAAAGTTGACTGATGTTGACTATGTAAAAAACCTCGCTCTCACTACAGACACCATTACCAAGTCCACAGTTCTCTTACATCAAATAGAAAGGCTACTAACGTTGTTGAACTTTATGGCAATGTCTCTAAAACTGAACTCATAAGGTTCAACCAGTAAGACTCAATACAAACTGTCTTTGGTTAATCAATAAAATCTGTCAAATCTTTTACATATCTAGGAAGTTAAATAAATTCTCCTAAAAGGATGTGAAAATTCACATAGCTAAAACCTGGGCTGCTTTGAATAAAATGAACGTAATCTGGAAATCTGATCTACCAGACAACCTCAAGCGGAGATTCTTTCGAGCCACTGTACAGCCGGTGTTAATGTAGGGTGACACTGCATTAACTCAAACCCTAAAGTCTAAGCTTGATGGAACCTCCACAAGGATGCTGAGAGTTGTACTTAACATCTCAAGTCACGTGGCCATCCCATTTTATAATATTTTATTCGTTTCTTTCAGTTTGGTGAGTCCTTCATAACGGTCAAAGTTTAGTATCATATTTTTCTGATTTATTTATCCTTTATGCGTTCTTCATTGGAGATACCACGGAGTTTTCACAGACATCGTAATTCAACTGCTCGGATCTTTCTCTGAAGCTCTCCTATGAGAGGCCAGAAGGGCAATATGTTAATACTGAAAAGGTGTCATACAAGAAATTCGGTATCTGAAGTAACACTTTTATTCTTACCAATGGAATACAAAGGGAATGGGGACGTTTCGTCTCTATGTACATCGCATGGTGGATCTTAGATGGAAAGATCTGAACTGGTGAAACTAAACAATGGAGAAAGCAACCGTTTAAGCAAATTTAGTATTAATTAGTACTAACTAGTTACTATCACCGTTACCTGACACGACAGTTGTGGGAGATGGCTTGAATCTCGAGAAAACTCCTCTGTTTCCTCAGTGATGTTGATGCCTACATATTTCGCTGTCTGCTTCGAACACCTTTCCTCTGCAGTACCCTCCCCCAAAAGGATTGTCTTCGAGAGTGCGTCAGATCATGTCACGTGGCCATACCATCATATTTTCTTTTTTCTCAGTGCGGTCAGCTTTTCCTACCAACGAAAATGATGTCCAATAATTGTTCCATGTTGGAGACACCAAGGCTGTTATGTGAACCCAGGATAGTTTTTTCTGGTTTATTTATCCTTTGTTGTGTTCCTCATTGAATATACCAAGGATTCTTCTGCAGCATCTTACTTCAAACTGATCGGATCTTTCTCTGAATCTCTGCTGTGAGAGCCCAGGATGGAATTCTGTTAATACCGAAAAAGGTGTTTACATGAAATTCGGCACCGGAAGTAAACCTTTTATCCAAGTCCAAATGGCAACTTTTGACGCTAAAGCTTGAATCAGAATTGACTACATAAAAGCGCCTTCATTTTCAGTTTGGTTTAAGCGTGGCCGCTAATTACATTAGGCTGGAAAACATTGCGACGTTTTGGTTTACGGCAATAAGACAAAACTTTAAACATTCCGCCATCACCGTGGACAATTTCCTGTCGATGCTGACAGCGTTGTTGTCCTGTTCTTTATTTCTCTTTCCTCTTGGACTTAAATCGTCGAAACTAATTTCCGTGCTGATCATTCCAACGGAAAACCAAACATCCGTAAGAATGTGTTGGTGGCATTAAACAAACGGAAGCAATGTTTTCTGCCCTTTTTCTTTCTGCCTCGTACCTCTTTTCTCTAGAGTACCTCTCAAAGGTACTCTTTTCTCTAGGGTACCTCTCAAAGGGGTTGTTGCCTTTGAAAGTTCGTAAAGATCAAGTCACGGGCCCATGTCTTTATATTTTCATTTTTTTCCAGTTTCTTTAGCGTTTCATAATGACCAAAATGTTGTATCATAGATTTTCTGTTTTATTTATCCATTGTGTGTTCCTCTTTGGAGATACAACAGAGTCTTCGGAGGTATCAAATCAAATGCTCGGATCTTTATCTGAAGCTCTCCTATGAAAGGACAGAAGGGCAATGTGTTATTACTGAAAAGGTGTCATACAAGAAATTCGCCATCTGAAGTCACACTTTTATTCTTACTAATGGGATACAAAAGGAATGAGGACGTTTCGTCTCCGTGTACATCGCATGGTGGGTCTTAGATGGAAAGGTCTGAACTGGTGAAACTAAACAATGGAGAAAGCAACCATTTAAGCAAATTTAGTATTAATTAGTACTAACTAGTTTATTTTGATAGTGTAGTTACTATCACCGTTACCTGACACGACAGTTGTGGGAGATGGCTTGAATCTCGAGAAAACTCCTCTGTTTCCTCAATGATATTGTATGCCTACATATTTCGCTGTTTGCCTCGTATATCTTTCCTCTGCAGTACCCTCCCCCAAAAGGATTGTCTTCGAGAGTATGTCACGTGGCCATACCATCTTATTTCCTTTTTTATCAGTGTGTTCACCTCTTCATACCAACGAAAATGGTATCTAATAATTTTTCTGATTTCTTATTTTATGTGTTCCATATTGGAGATACCAAGGCGTCTTCTGAGATATTAGATTTGTGCTGCTGTGTGAGTCCAGGAGAGTTTTTCTAATTTTCTCTTGTAGGCATAGATTGCATCTACCTTTAAAACTAATAAGAGTCTGGGCAACCCTATAATTTTCCAGTCACTCTGAGGGTCCAGTCCTTTCTCCCATCACCCTTACATTTGGCTACCTAGCTCCCCAGACTCCAAATCCATTGATTATTATGTGTGGAGCGCAGTTGAGTGAGAGACCAACAAAATTCCTTGTAAAACCAAACATGAACTGAAAGTAATGATTATGGCAGCATTCACCAACAAAGAAACTGTCCAGAAGAGTTGCAGGAGATTCCGAAGTCGTCTGGAGGCCATGGTTGAAGATGATGGTGATTTTATGGAATAAATTTACTCTTTAGTACTTCAAGATATTTTTATGTAATTGTGGTAAGTATATCTGTTAAAATGAGATGTCAGTGTTATTTTCATTTTTTTTTCAAATTTCCTCATAGATGAAAAAGTAACTTGCGATAACGCAGAAATGGTTCTACAGAAGGATACTGAGAATACAACAAACGCCGCATTTGAGTAACGAGGAAGTTTTAAGGAAGGTGGGAAC